GATGCATACTTCGTCTACTTTTCAGTTTTGCACAGGAAAGACCAATGCCTTTATAAAAATGTAGCTTTCTCCAGAAAGAGAGACAGATGCAGAGAACAAACATATGGATATGTTGGGATTGACATGTCTATACTACAATGTATAAAATAGATAACTAATGAGAACTGACTGTATAGCACAGGGAACTCCACTCAATACTGTGCAGTGACATAAATGGGAAGGGAATCCGAAAGAGAGGGGATACATAGAGCTGATTCACTCTGCTTCTCAGCAGAAACTCATTCAGCCTTGTAAAGCAATTACACACCAATTAAAAAATGCAGCTTTCTCAACAGGTTTCCAGATATTGGGACATACCTGCGCCTTCACTGCGTGGCTCGCTGCCTAAGTCTAAGGTCACCCCACTCTTCTCCACTCATTCTCCATGCGTAGTAGTCGGGGTGATATGGCTGAGTATTTAAAAAACAGAGGCTCCAGCTTAATCTACAACTGAGTCATGGAGACTGAGGATTATTCTACTTTCAGTTCTCCTTGTTGCTTTGCACAGGGCTGAGCGTGCCAGATAGAGACCCAGTTTTTAGGGTCTTTAGACTCTTTTTAGAAATATTATTGTTAGCAGTGTAATAGATGGACATACAGGGATGTGTGACTTCTGGATGAAAGTTTACAAAGTCCTCCAACAGCCACAGTTTTTTGGTGGGTTCTGAGAAATGTTATTCTGTGACTACCGGGTAAAAGCATGCTGGTGGTGAGTTATTTTTTCCCCTCTCGTCGTGTGCCGTGTGGTTTAGGGCTCTGCTTTCCTGCTGGACAGCTGTCCCCTCCCCCACAGCATTTTCCCACCGGCTCAGGACTGCCGCGTGTTGTGGTGTGTTATTGACTCTGGAGTTTGGTATTTTTACAAGTTCCTGGTCAGTTAAATTCAGGGTACAAAGAATCAGGCTTTCCATGTTTTCCTGAGTATGTGCCAAAGCCCTCTTCCTTCCTGGCAAAGGTTAGACCAACAGGGCACCATAACACTGACCACGTGGGGAGGAAGGACTCAAAGTCAGGGTCAAGGTGGGCCTGAGCCTCCTGCAGCTGCATCAGGTGAGGCCCCCTTCTGTTACCATTTGTGAGACGTTTGAGATGCTATTTCCTCCTGTCTGCCCCCGTAGGGCTCCACATTTGTCCCCCAAAGTGACACCTCTTTGAATGCAAAGGGAACAGTCTGTTTCAGACCCACCTCATCTCCTTTCAAGTGATTCAGAGGGAAAAATAGTTTTATCTTTGTATCATTCGCCTAAGAATAAGATGCACCAATGCTCAGATTATGAGACCTTCATATTAAAAGCAATTAGGATTACATAAATCTTTGTGTGGGTGGCATACCAAGTCATCTGCATACTTTACCATCTTAGATTTGGGTGGGATAAGTGATTTATTCTCAGCCAAGGCAATGACAAGTTGCAAGTTGGCCAATACTAAATCTGTGGTAACAGAGCAACAGGCTCCCTGTCAATTCCTGGCGACGAGACCTACCCTGCTACCTACCACCTGCAGACCTTTCTCAGCACTGCCTCCGTTCCCTGACAACTTTGCTCATCTGCTCAGAAATTCTAACATATCCTACATTCTGTCTTCCAACTTTTTTTTTTTTTTCAATTCTTTGCTAAGAATATTTTGGCGATCAGCTGCTCTTCAAAAATCAACAAAAATATCCAAGTGTGTATTTGCTTCACCTTCTGTTCTCTCCTCCTCCAAGTGGAGGACTGCTCCGCTGACACCAAGCTCCCCTTGCCTGTGGTCCTTGGGCTGCAGACATTGGCAGGCTTGCTCTCTAAGAGTGATGGGTTGTCTGGCCCTGACATCATGTCACCTCACTCTTCTGTAAGTGTCATTTGTCAAGTGTTAGTGTTCTGGAGCGGGGGTCCCTCATTAAGCCAGTTGGGAGATAAACACTGGATTAAGAAAATCCCATTACTACAAGGTTCCTAAACGTCCTGACTGCTGATAGGTGCATAGAACCCCCAGTAGTGAGCTCCGAGCATCACAGCAGGTCCCTTTTTCCCAACTTGCTGGCCTCAGAAACCTCCTTCCACAGCATATCTTGTGAAGCTAGTGTTCCAGAGAATATATGTGTGAAAATGCTGGCAGGATACAAGGGAAGTCAGGAACCTTGGATTCTTTGATATTAAGTAAACCCCAGACACTGCCTCACATAACTGTGGGTATTTCTCGCTGTGCGCAGTGGCCCTCTTTAAAAATTATATGTAATCATACTTCAAGTTAAAAGTAGTTCTCAGTTTTGAGGCGTGCTGTGGAGGGTCAGGATGAAGTTTGCATTTGTGAATACCGAACTTTCTCAAAGCAGACAGCTTGGAAGTGCATTTTTGAGGTGCATGCTCACTGGGAATCAGGGACCCTGCTGAATTCCTGCTGCTGAGTTCTGAGCCATGCCGGTGGCATTTGGAAAGCTTCTCCTTTAGGCACTACCCTGCCGAACACCTGGGTGCAGACACTTCTTGTCAGATGCCCTCTCTCTGGTTGGCATGGAGGAGCTGAGCTCTTTGCCCAGCTCAGAGGAAGGCACTTAATGCCTCTCAACAGATTTCTCCTGTAATAAGGGTTCCTTCTCCTAATAATTTCCTTTTAGAAGCAAACTACTTTGTGACGAAAACAATCAGCCTGATTATGTGAAAAAGGAAAGAAAAAAAATTTCTGTTCTAGCGATATCTACTCTTAGCCAATTGTTAAAAACAAAAGTAGCAGACTCTAATTTTGCATCCTTAAAATTGTTTTCACATATAACCATGAGCAAGAATTGTTCTTTCTGTAGTTCAAGAATGACAACTTCCAGCCAGTTTTTTCCAGTGACATATGCCACGCGGTTACTGACAGGGGTTCTCAGTAAAGTCAGAATTCTTTGAGTGGGGTTAGCAGAATTTAGAATCTCCTTATTAAGGTTTCTCTTAATTGTAGATCCATATGAGAAAAATTGCACTTTCCTAAAATGGAAGAATTTTCCTAATCTTTGGCATGAGGTGGTGTTTGGAAAGAATACTCTGCAAGTGATACTGAATTGATAGTTAGGTGCAGAGCATTGATCCTTTTCAAGGTCTTCATTAGTTGGCTTTGGTGTTTACATTGAGAGGACCAAGAAACGCTAGAAAAGCTCTGAACGTTAGGACTGGCTGCCGTGGCTGAGGGATCAGCAGCGGGGGACGGGCAGTGGCTCGGAAGAGTGTGGCAGGCCCGTTACCAGCCCTGGAAGCTTTGGGATGAAGATCCTGAATGACTTTGGCATTTTCCCTGGAAGAATGCTCTAAGACAGACCTCTGCTTTTGTTTTTTGGGTGACCATAGCCAACATGTGCTTAGAGTGAATTCTTACATGCGGAGTTGGTTTGGGAATTTCAATTTCTTTACGGTCTGCACTGAATTATCATTTCAACTGTGTGCCTTTTTTCATGAAAGCTTTTTACATCACACTAAAAAGATTACATTCTTTTGGCTTTGGAAAAATATTTCCTGTTGGGTTCAAACCATTAAAGCCTCTTAGCGTTTCGCATCTGGAAGCCCCTGCCTGGGTCGGCCTTCCCTCAGCAGCTGGGCGGCCAGGCTGCCTGAGCGCCTGTGGAAAGTGCTCCGGACTTGTTGACTCCCCGCGGGCCCCTGAGGCCCCCGTCCCCCCCCCACCCCGGGAGTGCCCTGCGGGGGGAGGCTGGGCAGGGGCTTCCTTCTTCCCTGTGTGACGTGGGGCCACTAGCCCGTGTTTGCGTGTGCCTGTGTGTATGTGTGTGCATGCCTATGTGTTTGTGTGTGCCTGTGTGTGCCTATATTTTTGTGTGCATGTATTTGTGTGTGTCTTTGTGTGCCTGTGTGTGCTTGTATTTGTGTGTGTGCATTTGCGTATGTCTTTGTGTGCCTGTGTGTGCATGTATTTGTGTGTGTGTGTATTTGTGTGTGTCTTTATGTGCCTGTGTGTGTGTGTATCTGTGTGTGTATCTGTCTGTGTGTGTATTTGTGTGTGTGTATTTGTGTGTGCCTCTGTGTGCCTGTGTGTGTGTATTTGTGTGTGTCTTTATGTGCCTGTGTGTGTGTGTATCTGTGTGTGTATCTGTCTGTGTGTGTATTTGTGTGTGCCTCTGTGTGCCTGTGTGTGCGTGTATTTGTGTGTGTGTGTCTGTGTGTGCCTGTGTGTGCATGTATTTGTGTGTGTGTGTCTGTGTGTGCCTGTGTGTGCGTGTATTTGTGTGTGTCTGTGTGTGCCTGTGTGTGTGTGTATTTGTGTGTGCCTCTGTGTGCCTGTGTGTGCGTGTATCTGTGTGTGCGTGTATTTGTGTGTGTCTGTGTGTGCCTGTGTGTGTGTGTATTCGTGTGTGCCTCTGTGTGCCTGTGTGTGTGTGTATTTGTGTGTGCCTCTGTGTGCCTGTGTGTGTGGCTCCTCGGCTGGAGACGGGTCTCCCTTCCCAGCTGGCACTGGAGACCCCCTCCCCTGTCCTGCCTTAACCAAGCTCCGGTTGTTGCTCCCACCCAGTTTTCCAGAAAGCTCACCCAAGCATTTTCCGTGTAAGAGGAAATCTGCCCGAACTTCTCAGATGGGGCAGTCTCCCCGGAGAGAAGAGAAGGCATTAAAGCCCCAAAGGCTGGAGGATCACAGCTTCCCGCTGTCCCTGGCTGGCTTGGGGTGCGTCTTCCTTCTGGAGGTGTGGCGGTCTGGCCCAGCTTAGGCGTCTGAGAGGGGAAGCTAGCTTGGGGGCCACGTTGCTGTGGGCATCGAGACGTTTGGATATCCCTTTCTCGGAGGGTTAGTGTTTCCCTCGAGGCAGGCCCTATGCTCATGCCATCCGGCTGATTGGTTTTGCTGGGTTTCTGTGGAGAAACCCAGGGCCTGCCCCTGGCTGCACTGCAGGAGCCTGAGGGACCGGGGTGCCCACCGGGTTCTCTGAGAGGCTCTCACAACTCCGGCAGCACAGCCAGCTGGGACACATTTCTCCTGACCACATGCGGCCAGAGCCGATGGCGGGCAAGCTGTGACAGCCTCAGGGCGACCCGGCGAGGCCTCTGGGGCCGGTGGTCTCGGGTAAGGTACCCCCTCCTGAGCCTCTCTGGAAAAGCTGGGGGATTGCACTGTGCTCCCGTCCCCTGTCGTCAGGGGTCTCAGCTCGTGTGCGCACGTGTGTGTGTGTGTGTGTGTGTGTGTGTAGGGGCGGGGTCAGGGGGCATCTGTAAGGCTCTTCCAGCGGCCCTCAACCTCACTGGAGAGGACCAAAACCCGCGTCTGCGGGACCAGCCCCAGAGAGGACAGGCCGAGTGGGATTTCCGCTTGCTCCTTCAGACGGTGTTCCTGGGGGCGTCTGGAGAAAGGCAGCGGATTGAAACCGCATTCGTGGGAGAACCACGCGGCCTGAGTCGGGTACCCAGGGCTGGAGCAGCCCACTTGCCTGTGCGTTTTCCTTAATTTACCGGGACGTGCGTGGAATCGTTTCTCATACCTGTGGGAAGCCACTGGATCAACTGGATGAATAGCAGTGTGAACAGCGAGCTCAGCTAAACAACCACCCACATTTCTGAAGTGCTTGGGATGAAAAAGGCGCCGGCAGGGAGAGACCCATATTGGGGGTTAGGCAGAGCGGGGAGAAGAGAGAACCAGTGCTCCGAGGGTCTGCGGGGATCTTCAGGTCCCCTGTTGACTGCTGTCAAAGTTCGGGTGTGCACGGCCCTGCAGCATGGGGCTGGGCAGGGCGGCCAGGGTCCCGTCCTGGGACTCAGGGCCTCTCAGAGCCCTTGCTTCCGGGGCTCCAGGAGCACCCCAGGAGTGCCGGAGCCTGAGATGGGCCTTGAGGATGGCAAGGCGGGGAGTGGGGGCCGCCAAGGAGGGGATGTGGGCCTGTAAAGCCCTGTGAGGCTGGCAGAAAAGGCTGTCTGGATGGTGTCACCAACGTCATCGGACTGTTTTACACACTCTGAGACCAGACAGGCCCTCCTGCCCTGGTGTTGCTGCTGACTAGCCAGCTGGTTGTCTCTGCAGGCCTCAGTTTTCTCAGCCATAAGTGGGAGTTAGGCTGGACTCGGTGAAATCAGAGGCAGGAGGACTCTGCAGCCTGCTGTCACCTGGCGCCAAGGACTGGCTACAGTGTTTTTATTGGGGGCAGAGGAAGGATGGGTGGAAGGGGAGAGGTGAGGCCAGAGGTTATCATTACGAGATGCTGAGGCCTTGAACTGATGGCATCAGGACAGTTGGAGAGAGATGCTGCAGGCTGAGGCTTCAGTGACAGGTTTGAAGGGGTCCCCCAGTAAGGAGCCATCTGACACGGCTTGGATCCGTCAGCTTTGAGCTGAAATGTCCAGAGTGCCCAGTAAGGAGTGGGAGTGGGGGTGTGTATTGGCTCTGCCTGGCCACCATGTCTAATCAGCTGCTAGGGGCTTCCTGGCCCACCGTAGTGAGAAGGAACCTGGGCCTCCTTGAATGTGTGTGTGTGTGTGTGTGTGTGTGTGTGTGTGTGTAGAGAGAAAACATGCACATACACACACAGACACACACCCACACCCCAGTGTGTGCCTTCCATAGCAGGATATCTCCTCTACCTAGAGGCACAACCTTGTTTAGAAAGAGACCCCCAGCTTCATCAATGCCTTGTTCATCGTCACCAAATGGGCTGTTAATTCTTCACCTCTTTATCTGAAACATTTGCATCTGTGTATTTATAGTTTTAATTTTTTTGATATGTGTTTCACACTCAAATATTTAAAATTGATAGTGGGAGAGTGTTTTTACTCATCCTTTCACCACTCTTTGTGCCGGTGACATTTTCACCATGAAGAGTCAGGGGCAGGACTGAGGCCTGGTCCAGCCCTGCTCTTGACAGCCTCTGTTGTCTACGAGCACTTCCCCCAGTCAATGGCAGTATAAGTCATCAGAGGCAAACTTGGTGAATCGGAGACATGAAACTGTTTGCTGCTAAGAGCAGTCTCTGTTCCCTGAAAAGTGGCTGGCAGAAGGAATGGAGATTCTGAGAGAGAGTAGGAAGCTGGTATTTCAGTGGGTGTTTATGTGCAGGCTTATCTTTCTTGAGGAGGCAGAGGAGGGGGAGGGGGAAGAAGAAAGAGGAGGAGAAGACAGCTACTCTCTCACGCTTCCCACCACGGGAGGCCCAGAGGTGCGTCAGAGGAGGGGGCTGCAGGAGGGCAGAGCTACGGAGCCTCCCCCTGCCCAGGGATGTGCCAGTCAGAGGTGAGCTAGCATCTCAAGGGAAAACCAACTGCCGGTTCTGAGCTGAACTGTATGAGCTCAGCGTGTATGATTATTCAAGGATATAGTCTTCCTCTAAAAGTGTGGTGATAAGAAAGAGATGCTGAGTAGAGATAGGAGATAACTTACAAATTAATCTGCAATAGTCTGTGTATGGCCATATAGGTTTGCACATGTCGTTTCCGAGTTCATACTAACTAGTACACTTAAACTCTTACAATTGAGCAGACTGACAAACCAACTTCAAAGCAAATGTAAGCTGGCAAAATAATTACTCAGGCTGGACTTTGTCCAAGTTATCAGGGTTCTCACCTGCTGGGGTCCACTCTCAGGGTACCTGTTTGTACATGTGGCCACGGTGGCTGGCCCTACTGGAAAATACTTGGGAAACCATTTTATAATTTGAGGATATAAAGAAAGTTTCTGCAGTGGTCTAAGAGGGTTCACATTGAACCTCATGTCTTCTTGGGCTGGGTGCCAACCCCAGCATCAGGGGTATCTTCTATTTTCTTTTGATTCTTGCTGCTATACTGCTTTTTTCTTTTACACTTAAAAAAATTAATGAATGTACTTTTTAGAGCAAGTTTCAATTGGCTGCTTTTTTTCTTTTTCATATTCAAAAAGTAAGTGACCTTTATCTCAATGAAAGAGTGGAGCTCATGTCATTTTTTGCCTTCTTTATCCCCTAGCAGGCATTTACCCCGTGGATATTTTGGAAGACGACCCTGCTGGGCATCAGGAAGCGACTCTGGCTTACTATGCCATGCTTGGGGAAGGAGCGGGGCCCTCACCAGAGGTTTTCTCTCTTCCCACTGGGGAGCAGGTATGTGTGATCTTCTAATTGGTGGAGAGTTTTGTATAATCTAACTTATTAGAAAGGAGAATGTTAGTGAAAGAGTATTAGAGATTAAAAAAATAAATCCTTCTGGAATGAATACTAGAATGATTCCACTTTGAGAAGCAAAAGGAATCCTGGACTGGGGTCATGAGGGTAAGTCCAGATCTATAAGGCAGTCAGCATGACAATCTGCCGTGAACTTCATGTCTACCACGCTAAAGCTGTGTGATCTTAAGCAAGTGTCTTTACCTCTCTGGTCTTGCTGTTCTCATCTCAGGATTTGGGACAATAGCAGTGCTTACCTCGTACTATTGTTCTGAGGATTAAATGAGAGCTGTGTGTGTTGTCTGGCTGGCCTCAGTTTTCCCATTTGTAAATGAGGGGATTGACTGACCTCTAGTCTCTAAGGTTTGATTAAGTCCTAAAAGTTTGTGATTTGGAATGAAGTTGCACCAATTATGATTTTTAGCACTGATAAAATTATGCTTTTGAATATGGACTGGAAGAAATTAGAAATGAAAACTTAGGATGGTGGGATTGTGAGTGAAATTTAATGATTGTGCTATTTTTAAGACCTTTCCCCCCTTAAGTAAAAAGAATATGTGAATCTTGGACTGTACCTAAATTGGTTAGCTGCTTTTCAGATTTGAGGCTGATTTGCTGAAAGAGGCAAGATTTTCTTGTTTTATACAAATAAAAGTTCACTCATACCAGGAGTTGTTGCTGTCTGGCAGGCCAAGTTAGTTGAGGAAGACAGGGTTTTATTTCGCTATACTGAAGTTGTTCGAGAGTTAATTAAAACAATGGCTTCTACAGTTTATATAGTGTGGCTTCCTTGAGATTTCGGAGATGCTTGTTTGTAATCTACTTCTGGAAGAATCCAGCGCCCAAGGGTGATTCCTTATTCTGGATTTGCAGAGGGAGGTGGCTGTAAGCACACGCTTTCAGCGCCGCCTAGTGACACCTATGCTGGAAGGCAAGTAGGTGCTCAGTCAAGGCTAAGGCCTTACTCTTGGGGGGCTTACTCTTGGGGAGTGGGGGGCTGGTGGGCTGAGGGCTGCTGGACAGAGTATGGGGCATGCTGGGTAATCTAAGAAGGGTGGTGAAATGCAGGAGTTAGCCCTGAAGTACTTTAGGATGCACTCTGATTCATCTGCTTTTATTTCATGCTTATTTATGGGTTACAGCATTACTTACACAACAAAACAAATTCTAATATGTAGTGTGCTCAAAAAGTGAATAATTTTAGTGTTGTTATTAGCAAAAATCATAATAAAATAAGATTGTTACTAGAATTAAGTTGTTTTAATGTGATAGAAGTGCTGAAATGTCTTTCCACCAATTTGCTTCTCCTAAAAAAAAAAAAAGTCCTGAAAATAATCATTTGGTTTCCTACCATTTTAGCAATTAATTAAGAAAGGGTAGCTGTTTCCTACCACATAACAGGTTTTGAAATAGTTTGATTTGTGATGATTATGGATCTCCTCATTGCTTTTAGCAAATTTAACTTTTCTTTTTGATCCCAGAGAAATTTTTTCAAACAAAACAATAAAAGACAAGATAAGGATGTACCATACCACATCACACTGGTCCTGCCCAGAATCTTTTCTTTTCATAATGAACTCTGTTTTCAGTCTTGAAATTGTCTTATCATATTTAAAATACAATAATACTTATTGATTTCTCCTGGTTATAGAACAGTGTATGCTCAGTGTATACTATTTGAGAACTACAGCCAAGGACAGAGAAAATAAAATCACCCATGTTAATTGCTGTGGACATGTGGAGTGTTTCTGTTGGTTTTATTTCTGGGCATGCCTTTTAAACATGCAGATCGCACTCGGAATACAATATTGTCTATAATAAGCGTATTTCCGTGTCGATACGATGCTTCGTACATATTGTTTCTAAGGGCCTTATAATGGCTGTACGCTGGGTGAGTCTGGGGGCCTCACGTGGCCACCTCAGGGGCCAGCTCAGCGACTCTTCGTTCAGGTGACTGGAACATAATCAGGTGCCAAAATGATGACGGGTCTCAAGATTTAAGAAGCAGTCCTCTGAAACCGTGGAGGTCTGCTATAAGCTTTTACAGGCGGCTTGCCTGCCTCACTCAGCCCACACATCCTTTTCTCATTCTCTTCCACTCTCCTTGGTCAAAACAGACTTTGCCGTGGAATGCGTTGTCCTTTTGCTTAGGGAGCTGAGGCCTGTGGGTTTGGTGGCCGGGGACAGGATTTGGCACGTGGGCACTTGAGAGAAGGCAGCCCAGTGTCAGAGACTCTGCTTGGAGTCCTTAGGGTCTTGAGCACACACGTGTCGCGCGCTGCGGCTCTTCACCCCCGGCGCGCCTCAGAGCCAGAGGACAGCCTGGGTTCCCAGAGAGGGTGTGGGCTTCTCGAGGCTGCTGGCAGGGGCCTGAGCCAGGGCAGCAGGCAGCCCGGCTCTGCGGGTGGGCCCAGGCTTGTCTTCCCCTGTGGCTCAGCTGGTGAAGAATCTGCCTGCAATGCGGAAGACCGGGGTTCAGTCCCTGGGTTGGGAAGATCCCCTGGAGGAGGTCATGGCAACCCACTCCAGTATTCTTGGGCTTCCCTTGTGACTCAGCTGGTAAAGAATCCGCCTGCAATGTGGGACACCTGGGTCGATCCCTGGGTTGGGAAGGTCCCCTGGAGAAGGCAAAGGCTACCCACTCCAGTATTCTGGCCTGGAGAATTCCATGGACTGTCTAGTCCCTGGGGTTGCAGAGAGTCGGACACGACTGAGCGACTTTCACGTCACTTCCCAGGCTTGCCCAGGCAGTTTGCACAGAGTGGCCACAGGAGGATCCTTGAGGTCAGCCTGGCAGGTGGGGCCTCACGTGGCCTCCGGCTTTCGCAGGTGGAGACCCGGCGGGGATTTGGGTGGGGAAGGCTGCTGGGGCCAGAGGGGGTGGAAGGAGAGGCCGCGAGGACTGAGGAGACAGTCAGCTGTTATCGGGTAGCCAGGTGAGGGAGGGGATGAGTGGGTCTTCTGGGGGAGACGGAGGAGGGCCCCTTGTCAGGCTGCGCTGGTGTTTAGCTCCGGGTGCTTGAGGTTCCGTGTTCCTGCTCCTCCGTCCTGTCAGAGGAGCCTCTGTGCCACTGTGTTCTCGGAACGAGCAGTGTGCTGGCTTAACTTTCCAGCAGTTTCTTGTGCTCTTGCTGTGATGACAGAACCAAATGGTGATTTTTTTTTTTTTCAGGTTAAACTTGAAGCTTCGTCTGTTTGCTTTTGCACCATGCACCGTGATGAACCTCAACACAAAATCTTGGTCTTGGTTAATCCCCAGGACACAAAGACAGGTTAGTAGTTATTAATGACTTTAGTACACGAGAATTCTGATTTGTTTACGATGAATGGAATCAAATACCTCAGAAGTGATGGTTGTACTCTTTGGCTGGACTTAGAACACCAAGGCGGAACTGATTTATTTTCATCTTTTAGAGATCCATGAGGGTGTTATGGTTTCTGTTTATTGACACACGTATTGATTTTTGTGTTAAAGACACCAGACACCTTCTGGCCCAGAGTCACGGTATTCAGAGCTGCTTCTGAGTGTCACACGTGCTGTTCTTATTATTAGTAACAGCATTGCGTGCACAGCCTGGAGGGTCACCACAGCCCTGTCAAGTGCAGGGACTGTTGTTTTTTTAAATTTCGCTTCTTCTTATTTTTGACTCTGCCGGGTCTTTGTTGCTGGGCCTTTGTGGGCTTTTCTCTAGTTGCAGTGAGCAGGGGCTACTGTCTCATTGCGGTGGCTTCTCTCATGGTTGAGCATGGGTTCTGGGGTGTGCAGACTTCTGTAGTTATGACCCCCAGGCTCTAGCGGAGGCTCACAGGCTCAATAGTTGTGGTGCAAGGGCTTAGTTGCTTTGCAGCATGTGGGATCTTCCCGGACCAGGAATCGAACCCACATCTCCTGCATTGGCAGGCAGATTCTTTATCACTCAACCACCAGGGAAGCCCAGGGACCATTTTTATCCCTGCCAGACTGGATGAGGAAAGCTGGTGCAGGGTAGGGGATTTTTGCAAGGTGATGATCTGGTGGGGTTTTGTTTCTGGTGGTGAAATTTATGTAATCAGTAGCACATTTATTCTTCCTCTGCATCGTGACCTGTTTGTCACCAATTTCACTGTTGGAAGCTGACCAGTTTCAGGTTCTCGGGTGAGTGCTCTGAGCTCGCGTGGATGGCTGTTCTCGGCTGCATGGAGGCGGGGCGGGCCTGGGGCTGCTGGCGGTGAGCAGTGTGGGGTGGGAGAGGGTTCCAGCCCAACAGTCTGCCTGGAGCCCAGGCCACCCAGCAAGCTGGAAGCAAAGCTCCTTGTCTGTGACCTCAAGGGAGCCCCAATATAAGGTCAATCCTATTTAGAAATTTACTCTTTTGTTATACTTTAATGTGTTGTTACAGATTTCCCGCAGTGACCATATATTGCTTTCCTAATAAGAAATTTAAAAAACCAAACCAACGCTTAGTGAGTTACCCCTCCTTCAAGGATGCGGTGTCTGCTGAAAGTTTGGCGTTAGGGGTCTTCAACTACACTTTGCCAAAGGGGCCTCCTTCAACTCTCCAGCTCCCCGGGGATGAACTTTTGCCTTTCACCCTGCATGTCCATCTCAGGCCTGTAGTCAGAGGATGCCCCGTTCCACAGGTGTCACAAAGCCCAAAGTGACATCCTTGACCAGAGAACGTTATTTAGCACATATCTATCATGCATGCTTCTCTCATTACTAATCCTGAGACACGAGTGTGCTTAGTTAGCTGTCTTGGAGTTTTGGGCATGTTGGTGAAGACTCCTCCTTGCTTCAGGGCTAGGGTTGGCTGAACCGTGTGTGAGAGCTTTCTGGTCAAGGTTTAGGACACTTCCTATTCCTGTTTGGCCAAGTCCTTGTTGAACAAAGGGGCTGGGATAACCCCAGGACCCTGACTTTGCCTTGAATGCCCCAGGTTAGAGAAAGCAACAGGAGGAGCTCACAGATTGTCAAAACACTCTGAAAATATCATTTGCCAATTTTAAGAGGATGTCCAAATATCAGCAGCCTTCTCCTCTGCCTTTTTCTGGCATTTAGCAATATTCTGGTTAAAGGTCTTTAACTGCATTTGCATAATGTAAAAACATATGACTGACTCATAAATCTGTTTCCTATTTCCATTGTACTTAATTTTTCGGTTGTTTTCGAGAATGTATTATAATAAATATTCATAAGCTCTAAGAAATATCACTCTGGATCTTTCTTTATGTTTCCTAGAGCTTTAAATAAAGTTTCCAAATGTTTTCCTGCTGTTGGGCTCCATGATCGTTGCTGAAGTTTTGCATGATTTCCAAAAAGCGCTCAGGTGTTATCCACATCTTGTGCTCTTTACTCTGGTATTTAGAAGCGGGCATCATACGTAAATGCTCCTCTGTGGCTGGAGACATGTGGACTCCCAAGCAGCCAGTGGTACCACAGAGCCTCTTGCCTCTTGACACACGCGCCGCTTCAGCCATGTGCTTACCTGTGACCTTCGAGAAGGCTGGCCCTAGTTCCTTTGTAATTTTCCAGTGGCATTCGTGAAGGTCTGTGTGTTTGTGTGTGTGGGTGGTTGCCTGCATGCATGCAAGTTGCTTCAGTCCTGTCTGACTCTTCATGACCTTTGGACTGTAGCCCACCAGGCTCCTCTGTCCATGGGATTCTCCAGGCAAGAATGCTGGAGTGGGCTGCCGTTCCCTCCTCCAGGGGATCTTCCCAACCCAGGGATGGAACTCAAGTCTCTTATGTCTCCTGCATTGGCGGGTGGGATCATGACCACTAGCGCCACCTGGGAAACCTGTTTGTGTGGTGAGATGGAAGCTAAAGGGATCAGAGCTGTTTGATGAGACTGTGTATGAGTTAATTATTATAGTAACTTCCAGTAACCCTGTGAGCAAATGAAAGACATCCCAGAATTGTGAATTCCCTGGTGGCAAGCAGTTAATGTTCATGGCGGAATACTATGAAGATGTGAGTATAAGTAGGCCTTGGAGACCTTATGGAGGTTCCAGACCACTGCAGTAGAATGAATATTGCAATAAAATGAATCCCACAAATTCTTTGGTTTCCTAGTGCATAGAAAAATTATGTTTATACTATTATCTATTAAGTGTGCAGTAGCATTATGTCTAAAAGAATGTACACACCTTAATTAAAAATACTTTATTGCTAAAAAAAAGCTGATTATCATTTGCTGCTGCTGCTAAGTTGCTTCAGTCATGTCCAACTCTGTGCGACCCCATAAACAGCAGCCCACCAGGCTCCCCCGTCCCTGGGATTCTCCAGGCAAGAACATCTGAGACTTCAAAAAGTCATAGTAATCTTTTTGTAATAAGTAATATCAAAAATCACTGATCACAGGTCATCATAACAAGTGTAATGATAATGAAAGAATTTAAAATATTGTGAGAATGACCAAAATGTGACATAAAGACATCAAGTGAGCAATTACTGTTGGGACAATGACACTGGTCAAAGGTTGTCACAAACCTTTGATTTGTTGTAAAAAAAAAATGCAATAAAGTGAAGCACAGTAAAGTGCAGCGCAGTGGAATGAGGTCTGCCTGTAATGCAACCTTCCAGCTTTTCTCCTGTAAGAAGCTGGGGACGTGCTTTCCGTGAAGGTGGTCTGAGGGGCGTGTGCCCTTGTCCCATCCGTCCGGCTGCTCCCTGCCGCGCTCACGCTCAGCTGTTTCTCAGTCGGAGGCTGGTTTCTGTCCCCGAGGGCACACAGCCAAGGGCTGCCAGGAGCCTCCCTGTCTGAGCTGCTTTTGCGCCTCTCCCAGGGCCCTGTCTTTCATTTATTTCCCCTCGTTCACTATTCCTCTTGTTTTTAAATTATTAACTGATCTCAAGTGTTTACAAAGATGAAGAAAATAACTCCTCTCGTCAAAAAAGTTGTCTTTTCTTACCTCTCATATTGAATTAAGAGTGCTCATCCTGGCGTTCCAGATTCCTTCAGCTGATGGCCTTTTGCTCCTCTCATTTCCACCCAGGACCTTTAGAGAATGAGATGAACGTGGACTTTGGTATCAGACTCAACACACTTGGCGTCCTGGCTCTGCCAACTGACTGGGTGACCCAGATAAATGGTCTGGCATCTCCAAGTCCCAGTTTGGTCATTTGCAAAATGACACCTTAGCTACTTCACAGAGTAGCTGTGAGGATGAAATGATTTGTGGCAGAAGAATCTGATGCTTTGGACTATCCAGGGCAGAGAGCAGGCGTGGGATCAGAAGTAATCTTCCATCATGGAGCGTCTTTGCATGTTCTTCTCTGTCTTTGAGAATTGCGTTGTAGAGGCACAGGGCTGTAGAATGGGAGGCCTTCCCATCAACTGCTGGCCAGGCTTCGGTAGCTGAATTACTTCCTTTGCAGATTCTGCTTGCAAGCCTTATGGAGGGGAAGGCAACCCCACGCTAAGGCCATCTAGTTTGTTTTGGAAGCACTCTTAACAGTAAGACTATTGTTCTTTTTGCTAATCTTAAACTGCCTCATTGAATGAATATCGTGCAGTCTGTCCCAAAGCAGCCAGAGATCAAGGACAGGCCAGGGAAGCTATATGTCTACACCTCATGGAGGAAAGGAAAGGAAGCTGCATTCTCATCCTTGGAGCACAGGGCCCCGGGCGCTGCAGTGGGGGTGGCTGGGAAGCAGATGGGACCAGGGCTGTCTTAATGGAAGGATGATGTTCCCGCTCAATTACAGCCCCATTCTCTTTGGTGCTGCTCAAGCTGCGGCTGAAACAAATTGGTGCTTATCTGTGGAGAGCAACAGGGGGATGAGAGGGCTTGAAACCATTTGAACAAGGCTTGAGAAACTAGGGCTGTTTAGCTTTAGAGAAGGGAGGCAGGGGTCCAGAAGCTCATGGTCCAAAGGGCGTTTAGATCGTTAGGCCCAGTGCTTTCCAAGATGATGAAGTGGTACTGCTGAATTTCAGAAGGAGAAAAAGGATGAATCTTTTGAATTTTATTTCCATCTTAAATGTATCAAGGAAAGAGTTTCTGTTTCCTATTAACATGGCTGTAACACTTAGAACACTTGTTAATCTCCTTTAAAAGAAGAAAGAAAATAGGCCTCCCAGCAGAGTACCCTTAGCTAGAATTTAAAGATTTGTCATTGTAAGATTTATTTTTATAATCATAGCACATGATGCCTCTTTTATGACAGGGCTAAGACGATGGTATAGAGGAGCCTGATGGACTATAGTCTATAGGGTTGCAAAGAGTCAGACACGACTGAGCGTCTGAACACACAGAGGATGGAATAGAGGTAGGCCAGAATCACTAAGGT